AATGACTTTATCTTTATTGATGCGATAGTTGCAATTGCTTCGGGAGATAAAGGAAGTGACTATTATTTGTTGCAGGTCACCGAGTGCAGCCGCACATTAGACTCGAGAGAGAAAGACGACTGGGGATCCGTATATCCTGCTGRAGCGACGGTCGTGAAAGGTCATTTCTTTGAAAATATACAACAAACAAGAGACAAACTTTTACTTTTTAAGTATATTTGTGGAAAATGTGCAATTGTTTACACTGCAACCATTACATTCATTTGTAAAAATGTTAAAGTTTTTGACGAGAAAGCCAAAGTCTACTCTTTACCTAATGAAGASCATGAAGACATTCTTGAATCTTTAGATGGATTCTAGTGTTACATGCAATAATACTGTGTATTACGTTGCTTATTTCAATAAWACGATTTGATAAAATCATTTTGTAGTTGTTAACTGCACACTATTTATCCTTCGATGCTTTGAARCTTTTATCGTTTGAAAACTGTTTTTTATCATATTTTAAAACATGACATCATTTCATCATTTCTAGAGYATAACAGCTATTGATCAATTATTGCCCACCATACGAACAATAAAACATTTWWAAAAAAATTATTGATTTTCACAGGCCTGCGTGACGGCGTTGCGTGACACAATTGAATCTTAGCCGAAATAATTGTAAACTAATCTTTGTTCMTRCGTTTTTATATAAAACTTAGTTAACATAGTTATAATAGATATTACTTGCACTGGCATAAAATGCATATTAGAGTTTTCATTTTTTGGTGATGTGACCGAGAACACTCACGTGACACTGGACGTTTTTTTTTCAACGAGAAACTCCATTTCTTAACCCGGTTGCAGGTGTACAGAAAAGGTGAGAAGTTAATATATAATTTTACTCCTTTTTAAGTTAAAGTACCTAACTTTTTCACAGCTATAAAGCTTCCATAGCAATAAAATAAGTRAATACCTTCATAATTGTATGATTTTATGCTTTTCAAAACTTTATCCTGGTCTGAAATATGARATCGGTTTCGATTTCACTGACAAAATACAGCTTCTCTCTATTAGCATTTTTAAAAAGGAATAAGCTTATATCCATTTCAGATCGCCAAACACATGAAATACTATTTTTTTTGTCTGTTACCACTTTACAAAATGACACTGAAATTGTTTCTACTATTTTTTAGATTTCTTTCAATAAGCTCTCATAATTAGATTGCTGTTAGTGGTAGCTTTGCAGATTCTGAAGGTAAGTTAAAAGAAAGCTTGATTTGTCACGAGCTAAGTAAACTAAAAATACTGTAACCTTAAAACGTTTAACTATAATATGATTTGTATTCTAAAATTTATTTATTGCTTGGAAATTTATTGAAAATTATTGCTTGCCTTTATATATTGCTTGCCTTTTTGACATTCTCCATTTAATTTGAGTCTTATCTCTGGTTCAGGTAAGAAAAGCCCTTTCAAGGAATTATC